AAGAAAGTAGCTTGAGCTTCTCGACAGATGAAGGATACAGCATGCTGCAAAGCTGCAGCGCTGTGAGGACTCCCCATAGGCGGAGAGATGAGGCGATAAATATCATCGCCCCAGGCGAGGCAAAAAAGGAAAGCTACCTGTGGATCCGCTGAGTTCCTCAACTGATAATATGCACATTCTAGATCTAGCAAAGCGACAGAAAAGTGCGAGCGAAATGCTAGTATATGAGGTAAAGTTTCTCTCAAGATGGAATCACAGGGCCTGGTTTTCCCTAGGCCAGAGCCTATGAGACCACGGAAGATAGTGCCATTTAGCACCGGCCGGACCGGAGTAGAACGTGAGGGGCTGAATACCGCAAAATGGTTGATGAGCCCTGTCACTTTGGCCCATTCTGATTTATCAACCCTCACTAAGACACCCATATCGATATACCGTTGAAAAACTTTAGCATAGTGATCAAACGAGCCTTCTTCTTTCAACTTATTGGCAGATACTCTATGCCTCGTTATGCATCTCTCAACGTCGGCAACAGTCGGCTTAGCCAATCTCCTAGATGTCAACCAAGGGATACCATATCGGAAACGCTTAACCTCCATCTCCTTTCCCTCTTCATCGGTGCTGGCTTCGGTCGTGAATCCTTCAAAGCGAGTTTCGTTGTATCCAGGACGTAGAGGGTCTTCTGAGGCAAAATCGGAACAATCACTGACACCAGTCTCATCAATGAAGGACTCTAAACAGGCACCGCAAAGCAGAGATTCCAGAGTAGGTTTCCCAAAATAGAGATTATCACTCTTTTGGTCGACATCGTCCACAAGTTGCAAGAAATCTATGGTATCTAGAGAGTCTTCAACCGTAGGCTGTGGTTTGCTGGTTACCCGAAGAGCAGCTTCACGATCCACATCAGCATGGAGGACAACACCAGTAGGTCCCAAATGTAACATTAGAGAGAGAGAGCCCGCATGCCCGACATACCTATAATCAGATCTGCTGTCAGGGCTACCGGAGCAACTAGACACCAAAGCTCGACTACTTTGTGAGGGACGCGAATAACCAACTTAACGGCTTCAGAACACTGAAATACTGAACCATCAGCAAGGATTGCTCTTGCAGAGATGGTTTTACTAGTGCGAATATAACTCAGAGGCAATTGATTCCGTAACTTGCTACTAACAAAGTTTCGTCCCGCACCAGTATCGAGCATAGCAGCAACTGATTTAGCAGAAATAGTCGAATTGTCAGATTCAGAACCGGAAACAATATCAACTGGTACACGTAAAGGAATTGAATGTTGATCGTCAGCTATGATCTCGTTCAATTCTTCACATTGTATAGTGCTGACCCACGACGCATCAGGGGTGGGCTCGGGAGAAGGTGTACTGGGACCATTGCCGTCAATAAGATGAACACCAGATGCAGGTAGAACTCGTTGTCCTTCAGGTGGACCAAGGTGAGGCTGAGAGGAGATACCCACAGCACTGTTAGCGGGATTACTACGAGAGTTACTACTAGGGTTGGTACAAAGGCTACTACTAGCGATACGGGAGACATCACTAGAGCAGTTATCAGCTGGTGGTGACAAGGGTGCCCTTTTGGGCTTACGACAGATGAAACACAGATGTCCCTGCTGACCACAACGATCACAATGTAGCTTGCGATCACGAGCCATTCTACACTCCGCAGCTTTGTGACCGAAATTCCCACAAGCCAAGCAACGATGCTCTACAGATTTGGGAATACTTTCGGAACAGACTTGGGCCCTATGACCCTTAGACAGACAACGCTTACAGACATCGAAAGGCAAAGACTTTAAGCTAGGAAAGCGTTGAGGCGGAGTAGAGATACCGGTAATACTATGAAAGGGCAAGGTAGAAGGGGTAGTAATCGCACTATCGAAGTCCTTCGGGCTCAAAATCTGTAGCTTTGCCCTCGACTGAAGTTGAGACCGAGCCGTCGACAAAGGGGTGCCAGTCAGAAGATACTGAAGAGCCCAATCGTTGTAAGGGGACGAAGTACAATTAATTAGTTTGTCATACACCGCAGAGTCAGCTAGGATATCGCCTTGAAGACGAAGTTCGACTCTCAATCTATCAAGACTGATCAGGAAGGTTAGATAAGCGGAACCATCCTTCTGGGAAAGGTCGTGCCACTCTTGACGAAGGCGAGCGCCCTCACTGACATCTAGGTAAGTGCTTAACAATGTGGCTCGAAGGTCGTTGTATAAGGTCTCGAACCTCCGATAGAGAGAGTGCTCATTAGAGAACTCTGATAGAGAGTAGTCAGTGGTGGCCGAGATACGGTTCTTCACATTCTCCGAGAGGGAGTACAGCAAGAGAAAGTAAGAGCATACCGAGCCAGGGGGGATAGTACTGGTAGTCAATAGACGGTCGAAGGCACTTAGATGACCTCTGATGGTCGAAGGTGATTGAGAGATCTTTCCTCGACCAGAAGCGGGGTTAGCAGAGATGTCAAGTAGAATGGCCTCGTCCTTCTGCTCACCTCCCAGGAATGTGTTGAAGTTAGTGACCTTCAACTCCTGCCTCGCCTCTTTTCTCGCAGTCTGGATAATCTGGCGGCATTTGCCGCGAGGGTCAGAGTTAGAGTCGATTGGGTGAGCGGAGACAACTGTAGGAGGGGAGGAGGTAGCTTGAGGTAGAGGTGATCTTGGGGAGGAGGTCCCTTGAGGCTCGGGAGTGGTTGTGCTCAAAGCATCGACCCTTACTGAAAGAGCCTCTATCTTTTCCAGTAACTTGACCATGACATCGTTGGAGGAATCAGTCGGGGGCTCGGCAAGGGATTGGGACGAGGTTACCGATGGCCTTAAGGGAGACGGCGTAGTTACAGATCTTCTTCTGGAAGTCTTCGGCATGACCGGATAGATTCTCGGATGATTGTTGCAATGCAGATGTTCTCTTGAAGGACTAGGGGAACGCAAGATTCAGATGAGCTGCTGACGATAGGGTATATACAGCTCGAATAACTGTTGTACAGCTATAAAGTCTGTTAAGGTGTCAGCTATAGATTATACAAAGAAGAGCAAGAGAGCAAGATATCAAGTCAACTATGAATACTTATCAACACATAGTCCAGCTGATGCACATGCGTGCACGATAGAAATAGGAGACAGCGCGCTAGCATGGCATCAGCATTGTCCGCCCCGGTAGAATCGCACAGCAGAGCATCGTTTCTCGAAGTTGAATAATCTTCATACTGAATCTACGGGAGGTGACACTATGGGCAAAGCCCGAAAAGGTACGAGCATCAATAATCACTTCTGTGTAAGATTGATAGTCTGATTAGAACTGTGAAATCATCCACTCCCTTGACCACTCCCTGATGGATGCCTCCATGGCAGCGTTCTTCAAACATGAAGTAAAGTAGAACGCTCGTCGCAGTTATGAGCCTGCACCTCGAGTACTGCGTCATTTACCCGCAGTATGGTGAAGCGAAAAGTCGTGTCGTACAATCATTGTACTACAATGTCACAGTCTATGTGGTGACGTCACATTCAAGAATTCCTCGTTCAAATTGAACGGGGACAATTTAGATACCAGTGGTAGCTAAGTCGTGGTGGCCAGTTGTAGCTTACGATCGCGATGGAACCGCATTAGTTGTCGATTTCAATGAAATCGCGACACCGTTCCCGAGATTCGAAATTCATATTCCAATTCCAATGGAATTAATTTGATCGCGGTAATGAAGTATAAAGACTTCACATTTCCGTTTCATTCTAAGAATGATTCACAGTGCAGTACTGTGATTACTAAGGACTCCCCAGTGACGTGCTTCGTTCCACGGTGGAACTTCCACCTAACGATTTCGCCATATAGTCGGACTACACAAGGTTATAACAAATCAATCGCTGAAAGATAACCTCATGGTGCGGCATATACTTTCGCTGCAGTATCACGGTAGGACATCCATCATCACGGTAGGAATGAACTCATTGAGAGTTGACAGCCTCAACTTGAGGTCCTCATTTGAGGGCGGTCTGTCGCGCAACATCCTCCATGACTTCCGAATCAGGAGTCTAGCGCGGTTGTGTTCTTCAGAAGAACTTCTTCTCGGTGTCGTATTCGAGGCTCAAGTCTTGAGCGTATAACTAGCATCCATATGAAGGAACGCTGTAGTGTCGATCGTGGAGGAAAACCTTGCTGAGCCCTTACAATCGTGACCGTTAGATGTAAGGAAGCTGATTCCCAAGATCATGCTCCCGACAATAATACTGAATTAGTATTATAGTCGAGACTCGACAATTGATACTCAGTATTAATTATGATCGGATCAGGTTTCCTGCGCTCACTATGAGCGGAAGCGGCCTTTGGAGCATGACGTTAACAACGTGAATAGCAAACTGGTCATGATAACAATCTACAGCTCAACTGAGGCAGGCAAAAGCATTGGACATCTGAGAACACTGATACGCAAAAATCGAGCCTCAACTGTTAATAAGTTGGTGAAATGGCGAATAAAGGTTTCCGGGCTTTCGCCAAAGCGGACCCGAGGTGCAAAAGAACTACTCAACATTAAGGATAGTTGCCACATGCTTGTATTTCCATCGTAGTTTTCGGAGTTTTCATCAGAATAAGCGCAATAGCATCATTAGGCCGGGCATCATTGCGCCTAATAGGCCCAGAATCCGGGACGTGCTTCAGTGTTGTGTTGTGGAATCTGCCTTCGAAAAGGCAAATCTACCCAATGTGATGGGAGGAAGAATCGTCTAGTCAACCTCGCGATAAAGACCGGAGTAGACTACAGGCGATTTCTGGGTGCCGCCCTTTCCCGCAAAATTGAAGCGTACGAGCCCATCATGATCCATGGTTAATCGTGTTTGTTCACGCTCAGATGAACGCGTTGGGGACATGTCCCGACGGGACACGCGCCACTGTCGTGATTGAACTTCTTGGCTTGTTGGGTTACCACTCGCCGAGTATCGAATGATCAAAGTATCAAAGGGAATTACAGTAACGATAACCGTCCACGTCCACACATACTCGAGGCTCACGTGATCGTCAAGTGTGTTGAATTCAGAATTCAACACGAATTCAACACACATGCGACACATGATTCGCGTGAAGCACGCGAACTCACTAAGCTGCATAAAGATCGCACACGTAAGCAGAGTGCGAATGAAATATAGGTCTATCCTGATACGGGAAGAACTTCCCAATATTAGCCGAAACCCGCTTACCGAAAGGATACTGTAGGGCTGGCGACTATCCTTTTGAGGGTCATGTGTGGCAGAGGATCATCTGTATGTGATGCGATCTCCGCAATGGGTTAAAAACCAAGAGATTCAACATTTGCTCGGTCCTAGTAGTCGATTTTCAGGAACCTTCAGCTTGGTTGACGAGCCGCAGCTTACATGCATCTAGCCGTCTTACTCGCTACAGGTGCTTTGCTCTCGGTCGGTGCCGACCTCGATGAAGCGTACAGGCAACACAAGCAGAAGTGAGTTCGATATCAGCATCGATGAAACCCCATCTTGCCTCACCAGGTATCGATTAAATTTCAACATTACTGAAGATGCTTACAGGAAAGAAATTTTTGCTGCGAGCTATGCTCGCATGATCGATAGTCAGAGCGGGAGTATCACGAGTAGCTGCATGCTCTCTGGGGGCATTCTCATTTCAGACTCGCTGTATCAACTAGGGCTGACTGAGTTCGCCACGATGACAGACGAGGAGTTCAAAAAATTGATGGTATGCAACGACCATATCTCACGCAAGGTCGCGAGGATCATCGATCCTGACTCTGAAGAGGGTAAGGATCAATAAGTAATCAGTTGTTTGGGTCAAATGAGTTGCAAGGTATCCGTCTCAAGAAAAAGTTGAGAGTCCTGGCGCCACCAAAAAGTGTAGATTGGCGAGCTGCTGGTGCGGTCACTCCTGTTCGTAAACAAACTGGCTGTGGCTGCTGTTATGCTATGGCTACAACGGGTGGCTATACTCCACGATGATCTTCATGGTTATCTTCTCTTGTTCCTTCAGAGGCTACTGAGGGTATCTTCCAGATAAAGCAGAACAAGCTCATCCAGTTGTCTGTTCAACAAATCGTCGACTGCAGCGCATCTTTCGGCAATGAGTATCAACTGTTGATCGGCTGTGGGCGTTCCGAGAGTCTACTCGTTTTCCTCAGGGGTTGCAAAGGTGGCTTCCAGGTTAACAGTTACCATTACATTGAAGAGAGAGGAGTCGTGTCAGAATCCGCCTACCCTTATGTCGCGGCAGCTGGTACATGCAAGACCACTACAACCAGGGATGTACACAAGCAATGCTTGGCAGTGAGTTCATGTATCAACATCATCCTTCGAGCTCTCTATAATCAGCCTGGGGATTTGATTGGTTGGTGGCCGATCAAGGAAGGAGATCTCGAGGAGCTGTTGGAGGGTGTAGCTCAGCAGCCAGTATCCGCAATTCTCAACGCTTTTCCCGCGGACTTCAAGCAATATAAAGGAGGGATCTACAAATGTGAGGCGTCGACTGCACAGTGATGTCTTCTCTGTGGGGAGAATAAGCAAACACAAGCAAACATAGCGTTCGCGAGAATGAGCCGGAGGGATCAGCAAACAATTCCTGGGGACTCTCGAGGGCTTCGGAGCCCCGGCTTCCCCTACAAAATGTTCACTGCTCTCTTCCCTTCCAGCCGACGCCTGCGACAAATCCAAGTCATCGCACAGCGTGTTGATCACTGGTTATGGGGAGGATAAAGACGGCACCAAGTAAGTATGGCCTTCACTGAGGATGACCAATCTGCTCATAGATATTGGGAGTTCAAGAACTCCTGGGGCACGGATTGGGGGATGCAGGGCTATGGTAGACTGCTCCGTGGAAAAGGTGGCAAAGGTGTGAACGCTCTCGGTCTCATCCTCCCATCTCTCATGCACAGGTGAATGTGGCATCCTGAAGCAAGCTTACTATCCCCTTTTGAAGGACGACCTCGATCCTGGCGAGCTGTGTGTGTAGGCTCGCTACATCCAGAAGCATATCGCGTGCTTTGTGCCTTCGCCCGTACCGCTCAGGCTGTCCGATCCTTGCTATCAGAGCGAGGATCCACTTTCTCTCGAAATTTTTGCTTTTGATGCGCATTCTTTCCTACGCTGATTCGTGCTCTGCGGATCCTTGACAGTGAACCAATCTCTGACTTTGCCTTTCTCATCAGGCGACTTAGATAAACAACTGTTGTGTTATAACTCATACCCTACGATTTCCGTTGAAAGAGCAATCGCGAGGCCCCCCGGCGAGGATAAGAGGAGCTCTGCGACAGATCAAATCGGTTGTTCCCTCTCCGAGACTCATCCCTGAGATTGGAGGATCATCTGCCACACTATTGCTAGGAGCGGGCGCAATAACGTAAGTTGCGCTGCGCATCCCACTGACTATAGCCAGGAC